TATACTGTAAACCCTACAGGAACCACTAGAGGGCAATAGAAGACAATAAATGATATAGCACCTTTTTTTTTTTTGGGATGACACCGTGCATAGACTAAACGTGACTGCTGGAATTGTATAAATAAATCTTATTACATGATTCTCAAGTTCTGGGAATTTGGTGGCAACTGCTTTTTTTCCACTCTTTATATAATTTTTGGCAACACATTAGGGAATAGTGGTTTCTACAACTGAATTAACTTTGGAGAAAATATTACTATTTTTCTCAACTTTTTCAATATCATTTTCCCTCCCTTTTCCTTCTTTTTTTATGCTGTTTTTGAATTTTTATTTTTAAGGGTATTCTTCCAAATTTTCTGCTACAATTTGCCCCTCATCCCGTGGAATCAGTGGTGAAAGACCGTGGGCGCAGCGGCTGAGAGACCCCAGCTGAGCAAAATGTTCTCTTCAGCCTGGACTTAATTCATGGGATGACAGCGTTCACGGTGTGTTGGATCCAGATCGTGCTCTGATTTCGAGTAGACCCACTGAGACCAATCATGGGATCTGCTCTCACCATGACTCAGCCGGGATCCAACCCAAAGGCGCAAAATCATCCTTAGAGGAAACAAACGTTTCAGTTAGAGGAGGAGGACGACAGAGCAGGCAGGCCTTCACTTGTCTGGCATCCATTCAGGGCTAGCTTTCTCATAAAGGGGATGGTTTTGTCAGATTAAGCAGGGGTGAGGAACCGCCTTGGTGAGTAAGTTCAGCAGCGCTTTTTCAAGCATTATATATATAAAAGAATTCTTGTTCTAGGAAGCTCAGGAGAGTGAAAAAAATATTAGCTGCTACTGTTGTGTGTGGGTGTTTTTTTGCTTGTTTGTTTGTTTTTTGGGAAGATGGAAATTAGTTCCCTCCAGACAGAAATAAGGGATGGCTGAAGGTTGCCGCTGAGTGCCAGGGATTGGAACAGCTTTTCCCAATGAAATGTTTTCTGGAGAACAGAGATGTGTGGTTTTATTTTATTTTCCTCCCCTGGCAGGTCACAAGCCTAGACAAGACACCCGCCGTGATTGCAAAAGTGCTGAAGAAACACAATCAGGAGCGGAGCCAGGCCCCCCAGTACAAACTGGTGCAGCTTCTGTCTGAAGGCCAAGGTGGGGGTGCTGGGTGCAAATTGTGTGGAGATGGGGAGAGCAGGGGGAGCTGTTGATCGTCTTGGGCGGGGAGGAGGCTGTGGGGAGGAGGAGCGGCAACAGTGGCCCCTGTTATAACCTGGGCAGTCCCGGGTTCTGAGCCGATTGTGGTTTCTGGACAATATCGGGCACAACACGGAGGCCTGCCTGAGACAGAATGGCTGCAAACGACACCCATAAGATTGCTGCTCAGTGGGTTGGCCCTCCGGCCAGGGGCTGTGGCCTGGGAGAAGAACCAGGAGCAACCTGGTCAGCCAAGAGGGAGCCAGATCCTGAAGCTGGGTTTGTCCTGGTCAGCCTCTGTCTTGGGTGATAAAGGACGTTCGCCAACCCGGGTCTCCCAGAAAGGATGATTGATCTCCGGCCGCTTGGGTGGTGCAAAGCTTAGCTCTCCTGTGGTCTGCAGAAGGAATTCTGATACAATATAAAGAGAATTTAGTAAGCCAGTCTTGGGGTCCAAGTCTTGAGTCGTTTGCCCTCCCTGTCCCCGTCCCCCCAGGCTTGAGATTCAGGATTTGGACCTCAAGACTGTGCAAGCACCAGCCAGCAGATAGGCTGGTGCATGGGCAAATACAGAAAGCCTGGAAGGGGAGCCGGCTGGGCCCATGCGCATAGGCCATGGGCCAATGTCCCTTCCTTGGCGCATTCACCGGCCTCTCAGTCGGGCAGCAGCTGGTGGGTGAGTGGGCGGACAGATGCAGACGCCAGCTCCTGGAACGGAAGTCAGGTCAGCTGCCTCCAAGGATGATGGTGGCGACAACAACAGGGAGGGAATGCCATCCCTAATAGGGACTTGAAACACGACTCAAAAATTTGGTTTTGGAGTCTTTTTTTTTTAAAAGACCCTAGTCGAGTTGCTAGTGCAAATTAAGTCAGACTTGTCAGCAAGTGGCGACTTGCAAATTTCCTTTTCCTGGAATTCAGGAGCTAATGGCGGCTGGGGGGGAGGTTGGGGAGGAGAAGAGGTCAACTTTTAAGAAACACCCTTCCGGAGGTTGGTAAGAGACGTATGTATTGAAATGGCCGTGGGGCATCCATCGATGTCTTTCTCTCCCGCAGAGCTGGCCTTCCCACCTACCACGAACGTGTTCTACGCCATGAACAGCTCCTGCCAGGACTTCATGCTCCGGGCCAAGCAGGGGAAGCCAGCCCCAGTGGCCCCGCCGCCCCCGCCTAGGACCCCCACGCCTAAGGGGGTGGAAATCAGCGCCACTTTCCCAAAGATCAAAGCCACCGGGCGCAAGATTGCCAAAGCCCTCTTCTGAAGTAGAGAAGGCAGCCCCTCGGTGACGGACCACCACCCAGACGGCACGGCAAACAGAGACCTATTTTTAACCTGCTCCTGAGGGGGGGGAGGAAACGGGTGGGCTGCCTGCCCTCATTGGGATTTGCCAACAGCCGCGTTGACTTGGGGCACCCGTCCTGGCTGAACTGGAAGGTTCCTGCTCTGGCAGTTGCTTTTGCCCTGGAGACCGACTGGAGTTTCCTAAAGCTTTCAGGAATGTGACGCATTTTGCACCAGAGAAGGCAGCCCCTCGATGACGGACGAGCCCGGGCACCACCCAGTCGGCGCGGCAAACAGAGACCTATTTTTAACCTGCTCCTGAGGGGGGGGAGGAAACGGGTGGGCTGCCTGCCCTCATTGGGATTTGCCAACAGCCGCGTTGACTTGGGGCACCCGTCCTGGCTGAACTGGAAGGTTCCTGCTCTGGCAGTTGCTTTTGCCCTGGAGACCGACTGGAGTTTCCTAAAGCTTTCAGGAATGTGACGCATTTTGCACTTGGTGCCAGGAAGAATTTTACATGGCTGTTTTTGGCACCAGCCAGCCAGAGCTACATGGATGACATCCCTCTGATGATTTGTGTTTTCATGTGTATTAGAACCACCCACCCCTGGCTGCCGACACACCAGATACTTTTTGCCCCAGAAG